TACAATTTCTAAAATGATTAAAAATTCCAAAAAAAAATTTATCGCGCTGGTGAAAAATTTTGACCTAAATTTGATTCGAAAAACGTCATTTTTTCAAAAATTCTGGTGATTTTTCCCGGGTTTCAGATAAAATTTTTAAGTAAATTTCTGAATTTCTGAATTTCTAAATTTCTGACATTCTAAATTTCTGAATTTCTGAACTTCCGAATTTCCGAATTTCTGAATTTCTGAATTTCTGAACTTCTGAAATTCCCAAAAAGTTCAAAAAGCTAAAAACCAGATTAATAAAAATTTCTGGGAGCAAAAAATCGTCGTCTTCTCCTTGACGTCGTCTGGTGTTTCTAGTAAAAAGATACTTTTCAGAACGTCTGCGTCTCTCATCTCTCTTTCTTTTTCAACTGAACAAACTATCGTATTACTTAATTCCACATTTTCAGGCTGAACTTTTTTTTATTCACAACACATTTTTTTCCAATTGCTCATCAATATTTATTGATGTCAGCCAAAATCAATGAATACATTAACACAAATGGGACAGCAAATTTCGGAAAATTTTGGAAAATTAGAGAAATTCTGGAACAAAAACAAGGAAGTTTGTTGTTTTTATCCCGAAAAAAAAATGTTTTCGAATTTTTTTGGTCCAGAAAAATTGGAAAACGGGACCTCGTTTAGGAGGTTTTATGAGATGGGGCGTTTGAGCTAAATGAGCAGAAAACGTGAGATTTTTTTTTCTGGTTTTGGTCAAGAAGCTTTTATCCTATTAGAAGAGAAAAAAAGAGGAAGATGGGAAAATCCGAAAAAAAGTGGAAACTTTTTTTTCTCTTTGATCGATTAGAGCCACACGATAAGTGCACATACATGAAAGATTCTTTCCGGAAATCGGGAAGTAGAAGATTTTTGGGAAAGATTAAGGGAAAAATAGACAACATTCGAGGGACTTTTTGGAACTTTTCTGGGATTTTAGAAGGTTTTTTTCCAAAATTTTCAATTGGAAACTGGAATTCTAAAGCTCTGAAATTTTGGAAATCCAGGAAATTCAAAACTTCGAGAATCTTTTTGAAGTTTGCAAAAGGAAAAATCAGGAATTCAAAATATATAAAGTTCTGAAATTCTGAAAATCGGAATTCCAGTATTCCAGAAGCTCTAAAACTCAGGAAAAAAATGAATTCAGTAATTCCAGGTAAGTCAAAAATTTCGGAAATTTTCAGAAATCCAGAAACTCAGGAATTCCAAATTTTAAAAGTTCGGAGCTTCAGAAATTTGACAATTTCAGGAAATTCTGAAAGTTCGAGAAACATCTATTTTCAATGATTTTTGAGAGTTTTTTGAAAATCCAGAGTTTCGGAATTGAAATTTCGTTTTTGAGATATATTCGGAAATTCGGAACTTCAGAAGATTTGGAATTTCGGAAAGTCAGCTGTTTAAAAGTTCTTGAATTTAGAAACATTGAAAAATTGGCTCCGCGTCACTTCGAAACGGCGACGTTTCGAAACCGGTCATTTCGAAATTGCGTGACATTTCGAAACCAGTCATTTCGAAATCGGTTGTTTCGAAACCGGTCATTTCGAAACCGGTCGTTTCGAAACCAGTCGTTTCGAAACTGCAAAATTTGCAGGCTGCAATTATTTTTTCTTTAATTTAAGACTTAAAAATTCCAATTTTCAATTTCATTTTTACGTGACCGTGTTTTTTTTCGGTTTCGAAATTACTGGTTTCGAAGTGTCATATAGTTTCGAAATGACCGGTTTCGAAGTGTCGCGGTGTCGAACTCACTGGTTTCGAAATGACTGGTTTCGAAGTGTCATGTAGTTTTGAAACGGCCAGTTTCTAAGTGTCGCGGTTTCGAACTGACTGGTTTCGAAATGTCTGGTTTCGAAGTGTCATGTAGTTTTGAAATGACCGGTTTCGAAGTGTCGCGGTTTCGAACTGACTGGTTTCGAAATGACTGGTTTCGAAGTGTCATGTAGTTTTGAAATGGCCAGTTTCTAAGTGTCGCGGTTTCGAACTGACTGGTTTCGAAATGACTGGTTTCGAAGTGTCATGTAGTTTTGAAATGGCCAGTTTCTAAGTGTCGCGGTTTCGAACTGACTGGTTTCGAAATGACTGGTTTCGAAGTGTCATGTAGTTTTGAAATGACCGGTTTCGAAGTGTCGCGGTTTCGAACTGACTGGTTTCGAAATGACTGGTTTCGAAGTGTCAAGTAGTTTCGAAATGACCGGTTTCAAAGTGTCGCGGTTTCGAAGTGGCGTGGAGCCAAAAAATGCCAAAAATCCCTAAAAATTCCGAGAAATTTTGACTTTTCAATTCCGAGAAATTTTGACTTTTCAGAAGTTGTGGAACTCACAATCAGACGACTCAGAAACTCAAAAATTCCGAGAAATTCCAAAATTCGGAAATTGAGATTTTCATGGATGAATTTTCAGCGTTTTTCAATATTTTTTTGGCTTTTAGGAATTTTTTCTCATTTTTGTACAATTTCCTACTGATTCTTTCGTTTTGATTTTCCAAAATTCATTTTGATTAGTTGGAATTTTCAAAATAGTTTACTATTCATTTTCATGATTATTTTTAAGCCAGGTTTCCTAGTTCAGGATTTTTAAAAACTTTAAAAAAATCCTTTTTCACTTATTTTGTTCTTCCCAGTTTTTCTTTTTCAATTCCAAGAAATTTATTTTTTTTACTTTTTTGACTAGATCCTACAAAGAAAAAAATGTCTCCCAATTTCCAAAAAAAAAAAAATAAATTAGATCTCCAACAAAACTAATGGAAAATGGAACATTTCTTCAAAAAAAAACTAATTTTATTTTCTTAATCCTAAAAAAGCCCTTTTGGAGAAGGGTGGGGAAAAAGGGGAAAACGAATAAAAAAGAAACAAAAAAAAGTATTTTTGGGGAAATTCTTTTTTTTTCAGTTCCGCTGAAACCTAAAAGGATATCCATAAATAGACATTTTTCAAGAAAACGTTTTTTTTTTTGGGAAATTAGAAAATTCAGATTTTCATTCGAATTGAACAACAGGAATAATCATGGAAAATGGTTTCAGAACTTTTCAAAGATTCGTACACAGAATTCAGTAGACGTTGGAGATTCAGAAGACGTCAAAACGGAGAGAAGACAAACGGATAGAACACAGCAAAAGTGTGCCCCGCGGCGGCGTCGAAACTCTCATCAAATCTCTCCATTTGCACTAAAGGGAAAATGAGAAAAATAGGAGAAGAAGAAGAGAAAAGGACAAATTCATGGGAACAAAAACTCTCAGATTTAATGGGGCCGAACCGAGAAATGAGCAGCCGAAAATGAGCTAAGGAGGCGGGCATTCTTTTGAAGACGTCATTATTTTTTTTGGGAAAGGGATTCTGGGAAATTTGGCTCTTATCTGGAATCTGAGGTTCCAAGACGCTTGTTGAATTTTTTGCCTTTTTATACCTGCCACCTGGAATTAGTGACGAGTTGAACTTCTGGGAAAAATATCTAAAGTGCCGCGCCTCTATCGTTTGAGCTACGGGGTCGTACTTGCTTAGCAATGACGAAAATAAATGAATGGGCGGTACGAATCGTACCTTACAATAGCAATGTAAAATGTAAATTGAGCCATATAAATGTGCCCCCACGCCCCCACAAGTTCAACTCCTCGAGGAGCATGTAAACGGAATTTCGAACAATTTATTTTTTTTCATGTCCTCCCACCTTTAAAGTTTTTCTCTGAATTTCTGAATTTATATCGTTGCGTTGAAAAAAAAACCTGTGATCCTATAATATAATTTTGAAAAGATTTCTACGTTTTTTTTTCAGATTCTTATACTCGAAAATTCAGAAATTCAGAAATTCAGAAATTCAGAAATTCAGAAATTCAAAAGTTCAAAAATTCAAAAATTCAAAAATTCAAAAATTCAGAAATTCAGAAATTCAAAAGTTCAAAAATTCAAAAATTCAGAAATTCAGAAATTCAAAAATTCAGAAATTCAAAAATTCAGAAATTCAGAAATTCAGAAATTCAAAAATTCAGAAATTCAGAAATTCAGAAATTCAGAAATTCAGAAATTCAGAAATTCAGAAATTCAGAAATTCAGAAATTCAGAAATTCAGAAATTCAGAAATTCAGAACTACAGTAATCGTTTCTTAATTTTCAAAAAAAAAAGTTTGAAAAGTAAAACTGGATTTCCTTTCTTTTGAACTTCTTCCTTTTCTTTTCTTCTCCCAAAAATCAGATTTCAAAATTTGACAAAGAAAAAAACCTTCTTTTTGACTTTTTCCCTTTTTTCAGGTTTTTGAAAAAAGCGGAAGAAAAAAGTGTAAACAAAAATCTTGTGAATGAGATCACAGAAGCATGTGATAATGCTCTTTTTTCGGAATTTTTTTTCGAAATTTTGGAAAAAAATTTTTTGGAACGTTTCAGAAAAAACTGATGCTTTTTTAAAAACCAAAAAAGAGAAAATTTTAATTTTTAAAAGCATTTTTTCCAACCAAAAAGACTACAAGAACTACAAGAAATGCTTAAAAAGAGAAACAACACATTTCTTGGTGTTTCCTGTTTTCCGATATCCCATAAATCAAAATATTCATAAAGCTCCTCGGGACACTTTTGGGGAGAAGGGGCCTCTGGAGAACGGCAAAAAATTGGGACCAAAAAAATATGAGAGAAAAATGGGAAAACGTTTTTTGGCTGTAAAAAAACTAGCTGGGGGATTCGGAAGAAAGGTTTCTATTTTTGAATTTGTTTTTTTTTTCAGGACAGTGGAAAAAGAGATTAAAATTCCGGATGATTTTTGTAACCAAGTTTTGGAAATTCATTGATTTTTATTGTTTCAGTTTCCAGATGATTTCTAGAAATAGTAATACGCGAATCAGGCTTACTAATATTTTATTGGAATACGATATTTCTCTTGAAAGGATTAAAAAAAGAATACTTTTTGTAATACAAAAAAATCTACAAATAATCACAAATACCCAAAAAAAACACATCGAATAAGAAGTGCAGTAAAATGATAAATCTTCAGTTTTTACTTTGGAGCGGTAGTCGATGTAGGCATTGAATTTCCATTACTTGCACTTTTCTTCAGGCTCTTTCTGCTCCTTCTGCTCCTTTTAACTGTACTCGACCTGCTCTTACTTTTATCCGTTTCATCCTCAGTCGTAAACGAGTCGGGATTCATGACATAGTCCTGATCCAACTCGATGTCATCAACATTAGACCCAATATCATATCTCTCATTGTGTTTTGCATCAAATTGAACCGATTGCAATATCACATTGTTTGGAAGCGTGGCAGGTGGTGGGATCTAAAATCGGACTTATAATCATTGTCATTATTTCAGTAAATACCGTAAAGGCTCTAAAAGAATCTAATAGAAGATCACCAAACCGCAAACTTTGAGCCTACATATCTCGGTTCCTGTAAAAGATATAAAAAAGTGGTCAACTAAAAAAATGTTTTTCATAATGCCAAAAACATTTTGTTAGTTGACCACTTTTTGATATATTCTACACGAACCGAGATATATGAGGTGAATGTTGACGGCTTGGGTGGCCTTCTATTAGAGTGTTTACGGTATCTGAAGTTGTGTCTCTTTCTCTGCCTGTCAGTGTGCGGGCATGATTTTTGAAAAGCATAAAAATAAAGACGAAACGCGGCAAAATGAAGACAAAACGCACGCCAGCTAGATGATTTTAAAAAGTCAAAGATTATTACCTCCGGTTCCCTTGGAATATAAATGGGACCTTTTTTTGCGAATTTCGCACTATCTGCATCCTCCTTGTGGTCGTCAACACACTTCTTTGCGTGTATTCTCAGTTGCTGCAAGTCTTCTTGTTTTTTGATTAATTTCTTCTTCAATTCCATTGCTTTTTCCTGTTTCTGTTTATCTTCCTGGTTTTTTTTGTCTCCCTCAAGCTTCTTCGGATCATTCTTATCAAAAATAGGCCCATGGAAACGATAGAAACCATTTCAAAACTGATTTTATTGAGGAAATTGATGATCAAACAGAACACTGGTTCAGTTTCAATTCCTGACTGTTATATTCATGAATTTTAACAATGTATTTGTAAGAAAATGTTCTTGTAATTGTTTGAGGATGATTAACATGAGATTCCATCACTTTCAAGAACAAATTATCTATAGGATTTATCACAGGGATGTTAAATCTTAAACAGCAAAAAAAACAGATCCTGTAAGTCAGGAATGAGCATTCCGCAGAAGGAAAACATGTTTTATAGAATAAAACAAAGCTGTAATTTTAATATCTACAAGAAAAAATATTGAATCCCCTCAACCGACTCTAACAGAACGACTAAAAGTGAACACCATGCTAGTTTTAGGGGGTCTCAAAATTTATAAAACCAGTGTTTGAAGCTACAGGAAACATCTTTTCGAGTGGAAAATGATTAGATATTATAAAATAACACTTGACAAATGATAAAAACATAAAAAACACCAGGCATTGATCACTTTTAACTGTGGAACGATAGTTGGAAAAGTCCAGAAGCTGGAAATCGCTAGTTATCACTTTGAACAACCATACACGGAATTGGACTTTAATGAAGTAATACTTGCTTAAAAATTGGTCAAAGTCTCTGTCATCATATTCAAAATGTTATATTTCATAGCCATGACAGTTTTCTATTTTTTCCAGATTTTCGAAAAAAGCACCTGAAAATCGGAATTTTTCGAAAAAGTGAATTTTTTCGCGAAAATTTTTTCTTTTGATTTTCAAGTTAAGAGTTTTTTGCATCATTTTTTCGGGGGATTTGCTACATTTTACAAAAAAGTTTGACGCTTCACCTCTATTTTGAAGAAAGTTACATTTGAAAAACACGAATTGTATATCTTATTGACCGGTACTGTAGCTGTTTTTATTTTTTATGAAGAAGTTGTGTTGGGTGTTAGATAGAAAAACGAATATTTTAAGGAAAAGTAACATCCCTTTAATAGTAGTGCCGCTCTCAGCGGCCGCACGAAAAATACAAGTGCCCCCTTTAATTGAAGTACCCCCCTAAAGACCCCACGAAAAATAGAAGGGGCCCTTCTAGTACAGGTTTTACGGTAAGTATATTATTATACTATAAGCTGTCTCACTTGAATTCACAACAATGCCAAATTCACAATCCAAGTCGCCTTTGCATTCAATTTTATGTTTATTCCTCACACAACTTGCGTACTCATCGAATGTTTTTTTGTCGGAGCAAGAGTCGAAGATGGGGAGCAGCGGTGGGTCTGATGCAAGGTTAGTTAGAAGAAAAACGGCAAAGATTTCCCATCGAATGGGATATTGATTTTTCTCGAAAAGTTGAAGAGTTTCATGCTAAGTGAATACCTATTTTTGTTCTAGATGTTCAAAAATAATGAACTATTTACCTAATACCTTTAGAACTTTTCAGGAATCTTTACACCTTCTCAAAAATTACCTGTGGTCTCGATTGACTTCGCGATGGCGAGAAGCGCAAGAAGCGTCCACGTCCTGGCTCGCACTATAAAAAAAATGGAAGAATTAGGGTCATTTAAGAAATCGTTGCTTTTTCAAGCATAATTCAGAGTCTGTCTCAAAACCTAACCTGGAATCATTTTGGCGTTTGCGTTGAGATCAAAGGTAGATCGAAGCAATGTTTCTTTGAAAGCTCTAAGCCAGTGTATTTTTCAGTTCAAGCCGTCCTAGAGGTGACGCGTGGGCAGATGTCGTTCTTGAGAAAAAACAGAAAACTGTGTCGAGAATAGGTTACGCGAAAATTTAAAGGTTTATTTTCAGACAAAGGATTTTCAGAAAAGCAGCAAATCTGAAAAAAAACAGATGAAAGAGAGAAATGTCAAAATTTTGAGCATGATTTTTTAGTTTGTCAAAAAAGTTTTCATCTAAAATTTAAAGTTTTGCTATTGTTCCTAATTGTTCCAAAATTTCAAAACCATCAGATAATTTCGAAGGATATTTTAAAGTCTTATTTAATATCACCGTAAATTCTTTAATTGGAAGCCACCCTCTACCTTCACAATATCTAAATTTCTGAAAAAGAGATTTCAGAAGTCTGCCAGCTATTAAAATATTTTTCAAAACATCTCCTACATTTTATTAGTTGACAATTGATATCTCTTATAAGAACAGCGCCAATCGAGCTCGAAGTGCAGTCGAAATTCGAAAATTTTGAAAAAAAATTATGATCTAGGATTTCAAATTTCCCCCGAAGTGTTCATTGTTCCTATCCTCTGTCCTTTCGTGTATTTTGTGTCAAACGTGTCAAATTGTTGTTCATATTTAAGGAATATAATCCAAAAAATCACCTGTTCTATCATTTCAACCCTCTCAAATCAACTTCCTTTTTATTTCATTTCACAATTTTACCGTGCTTCTTGGATGAATTATTCAGAATTTTAAGCAGAAGAGCTCATTTTTGATTGTTAGAAAACACTAAATCATTTATTTTGACCTAAAAAAGACCCAGAGAAACGAGGCGCGGAGCTATGACAAAAGCGCACACCTAACTTTGAGCTCAATTATCTCGGTTTCTGTGAGAGATATCAAAAATAGGTCAACTAATAAAATGTTTATCATGATACCACCCACATTTCGTTTGTTTGCCAATTTTTAATACCTTTTTTAGGAATCGAGATAATTGATCTCAAAGAAAACAGTCTTTCAGATGTTGACGTGCATCTTCGAAGACACCTTCCTCGAATCTTCCCGTTTCCTGGCCTACGCATTGCACACCCTAACCTCCATCGAAATCCCTTTGCACATATTCGGTGCTTATTTGATTATAACTAAAACTCCACGAATCATGAGAACTGCAAAGTACAGTATCCTGCAACTACACCTCGCTTGTACTGTCATGGATCTAACGATCACAAGTCTTTGGATTTTTTATGTATGGATTCCGAGCAGTTCGGGTTATTCAGTTGGGCTCATGAGCACTGTAGGTGTCAATCCTTTGTTGCAGTCGTTTTTGGCGTTTCTACTATGCTTGGTAAGTCATTGACTGCAAGAAAAAATACAAGAATTTTTCAAATTGAATTATCTTAAAAACTCAGTAAACTATTCAAAATTTAAAAATTACAAAAATGTAGCTCTTAAAATTTTACACATTTTGACAATTGATAACTTTTTGATAGCGTGTTTAGTTCTTGAGATATGCGAATTTAAAGTGAGAGCGCGCTCTTACTTTAAAGGCGCATATCTCAAAAACTAACAAAGCTACAAAAAAGTTGTCAGTTACAAAAAAGAAGCTCTATTCTTGTTTAGTACGCTCAAAAATTTCCAGACAAGTTGGCAAATTTTGAAATCCTTTTGTAATTAGTTTTTTTCCAGCAGTCGCCGTGTCCTACGTCTGTCTATTCGAAAATCGATATGACGCCGTTGTGATCGGAAGTATTGGTAGATCAGAAAATCGAAATATCTATCGTGTCATATATTTTATAATCAATATTATAATCCTAGAATCTATGCTAGGATACATTTTCTGGAAGGTTCCCGAACTAGTCAAAACAAGAATAGCAGAAAGACTTCTATGTCTTCCCAAAGAATTTTTCGAAAATCCAAATTTAATAAATATCAACTCAGGATTTACAATAATCCCCTACTTGGCACTATCCATAATGTGTGTTTTATTTTTCCAAGGAGTGTATTTTTTACTTTATACTATTTATCACCTATTCAAGGATACCGTATACGTCTCGAAAAGCACCAGAAAAATGCAGCAGAAATTTTTCATCTCCTTGTTTCTACAAGCGATAATTCCAAGTTTTGCACTGGCCGCACCAATGTATTGCTATTATATTTTGTTTAGAATGGACTATTTTTATCAAGGTAAGAAGCTTAAGCCCGTGTTTAATTCTAGTTCATGGTATAGGAAACTCCGAAAATAGTCAATTTTAAAGCCCTACGAAAGAATTTCAGAATTCTCAGATTTGTCTGAAAATGTTAAAGTATACTAAACGAAAATAGAGCTTCATTTTTGTGATTGGCAACTTTTCTGTAGCTCTGTTAGTTTTTGAGATATGCGCCTTTAAAGTGAGTGTTTCTCTGCGCCTCTTTTCTTGACTGTGAGCGCGCTCTCACTTTAAAGGCGCATATCTCAAAAACTAACAGAGCTACAGAAAAGTTGCCAATCACAAAAATGAAGCTCTATTTTCGTTGAGTATACTTTAACATTTTCAGACAAATCTGAGAATTCAGAAATGCTTGCGTAGGGCTTTAAAATTGACTATTATCGGAGTTTCCTATACCATGAACTAGAATTAAACACGGGCTTAAGCTTCTTAGAATTCCACCA